AAGTGACCTAAACACTCAGACTGCGAGTTGATGGTTGTAGAATATGGAAGAGAAAATAGTGGTAAAGATAAAAATATACGAGATATAAAATAATCGTGAGTAAAAAAGGTATAGGTGAACTAGGGTTTGTAATGAAATGGTGAAATACGAATATAACAATTTCAAGAGAAGTCTCACTCGTTGAAAGAGAAATTTGGAAAGCGTAAAAGTCTTTCAAGTCAATTGAGTTTAGTTTTGAGGTGCGTATTCCGAAAAATTATGAAGGATGTGTATATGTTAAGACCTCTTAATTATTAATTATACCTAATTAATAAAAGAAGGTAGTGGTTATAATATAATTCAACAATAAAATAATGAGAGAGAAAATAATGTGTTGCTATTGGTCCCTCATGTCGTGCATGGGGTTATTCTCTATTGAAGAATCTGAATCATTGAAAAGTGAACGAGCTTTTCTTCATTCAAAAAAAAAAAAAAAAAAAAAAAAAAAACCTCTTTTTCAAACCAAAGTTGTTACTATTTTCCTTCTTTTTCCAACTATCCAATCACGTGGAGCGTAAACCTCACCTTCTTCATTACTTGTTCTTACAAGATTAGGTAGAAAGGCTGCGATCTAATACCTAATTAATTATAGGTTTAATTCAATCAATAAAAGATTGATTTTTACTATTTATAATATGTCCACACATATAGACCACGTTCACGACTTCATTTACATTGAGTACATATTAAACGATAGATATTACCTGTATTTTTAATAGTCAACATCCAAATATATTAAGACCAGCTCTGGAAAGAAAATCCCATATATTCTTTTTTAATGAAAGAACTCTCAGACAACTATATAACTGAATTAAATATATTTACAAATCATACAAAAAACATAAATTACACTTAACTGATATTATATGATAAACTCGATATATCTAGCGACCACTGATAAAGAGATCTAGAATTCAAACCAGCTTGATCAATTAATACAATCTCACTTGATTCAACCGCTAGAACATTCATTGTTGGACGACGAGAAAACGAAGGCATATATAGACAATTATGAGAGATAGGTCCACTTTGGATTTTAGTTACACTATTCTGATAGAAGTTATGTGGTACAAGTTTTTGACCATGCCCCATCTTCATTTTCATCCAATTTATTAATTCATCAATAATTCAACTATATATACAATATATAAATAAATAAATAAAATAAAAATTTGCAGTCATTAATGCAGCACATGCATCTATTATTACATAAACAACCCTTCCCAAATTTATTACTACCAATAATATTTTTACGCTATCTACCACTCCCATCACTATTATAACATAAAAGATTCCTTTCAAATTGTCTTACAAAGATTCATTACATCAAAATCCCCCCACACATTTTCTTCTAACACAATATTTCCATGTAATAAAAAAAATAAAAAATAAAAAGAGAGAAGAAAATGGAAGAAGAATCCTTAGATCAAATCACAGCCCCTCTAAGTAAGTTTTAATTTTCCTTAATCTTTGTACGTATAACAAAACAATATATTAATCTTTTTTTTTTTGAATTTGCAGTATCAAAGGAGGAAGATCGCAGCGGTGAATCGAGCAGCAGCAGCAGCAGCTCAAATGAAATCAACGGCGAGAATTCACCGATCGAGCAGGTGGCCCTCACGGTATCGACCGCAGACGATCCCAGCCTCCCAGTGCTGACATTCAGAATGTGGTTCCTGGGCACGCTCTCGTGCGTCCTCCTCTCCTTCCTCAACCAGTTCTTCTGGTACCGTACGGAGCCGCTCTCCATCACCGCCATCTCCGCCCAGATCGCCGTCGTCCCCCTCGGCCAGCTCATGGCGGCGAGGATCACCGACCGCTCGTTCTTCCGAGGGTCGCGATTCGAGTTCACGCTCAACCCTGGGCCGTTCAACGTGAAGGAGCACGTGCTCATCACCATCTTCGCCAACTCCGGCGCCGGCACGGTGTACGCCATTCACGTGGTGACAGCTGTCAAGATCTTCTACAAGCAGCACATCAGCTTCTTCGTTTCCCTCATTGTCGTTATTACCACACAGGTATATAGATATTAAAAAATAATAATAATAATAATAATTGGCTAATTTATTTTTTGGGTAAATTACGAATAACCCCCTGAACTTAGGTTAAATAACAAAAAATGCCCCCACCTATCCGTAATAACCAAAATCTCCCTCTGATTAACTGTTGATTGAGTTTTTTTAACCGAAAATGTGTGCCGTCTATTTTACCTTCTATTAAATAGATGAGAAATAAAAGAAAATATCTTGAAATTGTGTAAAGTCTATTCTTGAAATAAAAAAAAAAAATCCGTGAAAAGTTATATGTAAGGCCTCGTTTGGTTGTTAGGATAAGATTAATCAAGATAAGATTAATCAAGATAAGATTAAATAATCTAATAAGATCCAACTGTATTATTGGACCTTGGAATATCCAATAAATAACATGCTTATTAGGCAAGATAAACCATGAAAACACAATATTTGCAGGTCGACCCGCCAAGTTATTAGAGATACCAAACATCAAACAAAGTCCAATTATTTAGTTAATAGTGGCTAATCTCCCCAACCAAACAAGTGTAAGACGGGAACAATCCTCATGAAGTTTTTGATAATTACGAATAGGTGGAGGTGGTTTTTTTAATTTAACCTAAGTTTAGGGGGTTTTTCATAATTTACCCTTATTTTTTTAATCACACGCAGTGGGAGGTGTGACTGTGTGTAAAAAATGAAAGTGTGATGAAAAATTTGAATGGTAGGTGTTGGGGTTTGGATGGGCTGGTATATACAGAAGGTATCTTGTGGAGCCAGCTGCTATGTGGTGGCCTGCCAATTTAGTACAAGTCTCACTCTTCAGGCTAGTTTTTTTCTTCTTTTTTACTTTTATTTATTTATTTATTTATTTATTTATTTATTTATTTATTTATTTATTTATTTATTTATTTATTTATTTTCATTGAGAGAAAAACAAATAAAATTTAGTATATATGATCAAGAAAATAAATTACTTCAATCCCATATTGAATTCTTGTTCTTTTCTTGTGATTAGTGATTACATGCCATTGGATTTAATTTTTCGTTCAATCTTGTAATCGATATCGTTCAGTAGCGGAGCCAAGATTTTTGTATCTTCGGGCAAAATACGCATTAAATTTTTGTAGTGGTTGTGGTATTTATATATGGTACACCATTCGGAAAAAAATCACGATAAATTCTTATATAAACTAAGAGATTTTCGAAAATTAATTGGAGGGTACAGCCCCCTCGTGGCCTTATACTGGCTCTACCACTACCACTGATCAAACATTGTCGTATACGTAGAAGAATGCGACATATCTTATGAAATTTAAAATTATAGATCATGTCGAACAATGTAACTTTTATTTTCCCTAGTAAATTCAATCGAATTTGTATCTAATTCAATCTGCCACGGATATTGTAAACAGGGCTCTCCACGAGAAAGACGAACGGGCGAAAGGCGGTGTGACGCGAACGCAGTTCTTCATCATCGCCTTCATTACTAGCTTCGCATACTACATATTCCCGGGCTATCTTTTCGAAATGTTGACCTCACTCTCATGGATATGTTGGGTCTTTCCCAAATCGGTTCTAGCCCAACAACTCGGTTCGGGCCTAAGCGGGCTTGGCATAGGAGCCATCGGGCTCGATTGGTCAACCATTTCGTCCTACCTAGGAAGCCCGTTAGCCAGCCCGTGGTTCGCAACCGCCAATGTGGCGGTCGGATTTTTCTTTGTTATGTACGTTGTGACTCCACTTAGCTATTGGTTCAACATCTATGACGCCAAAACTTTCCCTATATTTTCCGACGATTTATTCACTAGCTCGGGGCAAATATACGATATTTCTAGCATCGTTGATTCGAATTTCCACCTTGACAACGCTGCCTATGAGCGTGAAGGGCCTCTTCATCTTAGCACGTTTTTTGCTATGACATATGGGGTGGGATTCGCCGCGTTGAGCGCCACGATAATGCATGTGCTTCTCTTTCACGGAAGGTAATTAATACATTACAACCTTGTAAAAAGTTACGATACTTAGATCTTGTTTGTTTGGCAAGATAAACCATGATTAAGTAATCAATCGAGCCATATTAAAATTAGATATAATTTTATATCGGTTAATCGAACCAAACGAAGGATTAAGATATTGCATATAGCAAATGATCATACAATTAATTCATGTGCAGAGAAATATGGGAGCAGAGCAAATCGAGTTTTAGTGAAAAGAAAATGGACATACACACGAAACTGATGAGCAAGTATAGACAAGTACCCGAGTGGTGGTTTTGGGCGATTCTCGTGGTAAATATTGCACTAACTATCTTTGCATGCGAGTATTACAAGGAGCAACTTCAATTGCCGTGGTGGGGTGTCGTGTTAGCATGCGTAATCGCCATTTTCTTTACCCTCCCGATCGGAATCATTACCGCCATTACTAACCAGGTAATATAATCAACTCGTCCGTATCGTATCTATATACC